TAATGCTAAGTTATATATCACCAGCTATATCTTGGCTAACACATCAGACTCAGCTAACGTTGTTGTCACCAGACGCGCTGCGTGTGTGTACAGACACCACCGGCAGGGTTGTGAGCTTCGCCTCCTTTGTGCTAATACAACATTTGACTTGTTAAGAGCTGTTTTTTTTAAGCCGGTTTGCTATTTTTTCCCGTTTTTTTTTTTTTTCATCTGATGGAAAGACAGGAGGCGGGACAGGATGGCGTGTGTTTGTGAATGCTGATTGGTCGGCATATCACGTCAATCAATTTTCCGTTACTGTGATTGGTCAGAAAACGATGGAGCGTAGACCCTCTCCGCAGGCCTGTCAGATAAGGGCAGATTACTCTTTTGTTTGTAGTACACAAGCAATCAGTTGTCCTGAACGGGGTGATGTGACAGTAGTTCTTTTAACCGCATAGTTTTGTTGAGCAGTGTGTATTGTTGTGTGTATGCTCAAGGGTATCTTTCTTATGCTCAAAGGGCAGTTTGTTGTTCAGCCAGCAGTGACTACATAACCACATCACCTCCAGACAACAGAGAGCACAAAATACATTTCAAAGATCACATAAAGTTATTCTCTGTCTCTGTTGTACCAGGTGGTATTCCACTACCGCACCAGTCTGTGTGATGGCAAAGTGCTGGATGACTCTAAGACCATGGGGGGCCACAGCAAACCCATGGAGCTCATCTTGGGCAAGAAGTTTAAACTCGCTGTGTGGGAGAGAGTGGTCATCACCATGAGACAAGGCGAAGTTGCAGATTTTACCTGTGACACTAAGGTTAGTGAGCTGGCGTTGGGATACAGTAGCAGTCTTGTTCTTTCTGTCCTTCTGTGCTTTGACCATCTCTGTTCACCCCTCAGCACACAGCACTGTACCCGCTCGTGTCCCAGTCGCTGAGGAACATCAGCGCCGGTAAGGACCCCCTGGAAGGCCAGAGGCACTGCTGCGGCATTGCTCAGATCCACTCCCACCACTCTCTAGGGCACACAGACCTGGATCAGCTTCAGGCCAGTCCACAGCCTCTTGTCTTCACCATTGAGCTGCTGGAGGTAAGCAGGCGGGAGAGAGCCCAGAGTTTAATGTTAATGGTGGTTTTCTTTTCTTTTCCAGCACACAATACCCACGTTTTGATTCCATTATCAATACCTTTTTTATATATATATATATATATATATATATATACATTCATTATTCAAAATCAATTCTTTAATTTACAAAAGAAAAAAGGGCACAAAAAGGAGCTTAACAAGGATTTTACCTATATGAAAAGAGTTAAGATTTGGATATAAATCAGGAAGTATCTATTTAAGTTACATTCTTTAAGTTACAAATCTGAACAAACATTTGATGGCAGCTTTTGGTACTTGGCAGATATTGTATTCTACATGTGCATACCAGTCAGTCAGTACCAAAAAGCTATTTAGGTTTGATACCCAGCCCAATTTGCCTTACACAAAAGGTGTTTCTGATATTAACATACATGGGGGTGACAAAAAATTGGAAGCCCCTCTCAATATAATGCAATCCAACATGACACAACCACTAGGGTCTGAAGTTTTACAGTTTCTGCAAACTAATGTAGGTCTTAATTGCAGGGACATTGTAAATGGACTGTACTTCTATAGCGCCTTTCTAGTCTTTCGACCACTTAATGCGCTGTACACTACATGCCACACTCACGCACATTCATACATTGGTGCCAACTGCTCCCAGAGCGGAAACTAAGTATTCACACACAGTCATACACTGATNNAGGACACTTCGACATGCAGCGAGGCTTGGACCCCATGAATACCTGCTTGCAAATTTTGTTACATCTTACTTTTTAATGAATGCTTCTTGCTGTTGTGCTATCCACGTTGCTGCTGTAACACTGCATATTTCCCTGTTGTGGGGTTAATAAAGGATTAGCTTCGTTTGAATTGCATTAGATTGTAGAGCTACCTAATAAACGTTCAACGTAATATTTACATCACAAAGAGTTGATATGTGTTACTGAACAATTTCATTTACAGGTCCGAGCTGACACTGACTGTCAGTCTCTTTCTCTGCTCAGGTTCTGCCTCCGGGATCGTTCCAGCTTGATGTGTGGGCTATGACAGATGAAGAGAAACTCGAGCTCGTGCCTCAGATCCACGAGGAGGGCAACATGCTTTTCAAACAAGGCAGCATTAAGGAAGCCACAGAGAAATACTACAATGGTGTTGCCTGTCTTAAAAATCTACAGATGAAGGTGAGGACACAGTTGAATACAAGAGAATAAAGATCAGATCCATTTTATTAGTATCTGTTTTGCATTCTCTAACTCGTCTCTGTGACTTCTGTTTCCCCTTTCAGGAGCATCCTGGAGATGAAGCATGGGTAAAGTTGGACCATATGATCACACCACTGCTCCTCAACTACTGCCAATGCAAGCTACTCCAGGGCCAGTACTACGAAGTGATCGAACACTGCACATCCGTGGTCTTCAAATATGAGGGTAAGACTTTGACTTTGGTTCTACACAAGAACCAGCAGCGATGAAAGATTTCTGTTGCTACGACAGATTGTAATTATTTAGGATTCAAAGAGGGAACAGTCTGTTTGGCATTTGTGTAGATTTGGGGGGAAAAAAAGGTGGCAGGACTGTTGGTTGTGATGTTGAGCTCACAAAACCTTACATGTGAAAGAACACAGCTGCTTCACTTGACAGCACCCTCCACCACCATCATTGTAACACTAAAATAATGAAAGAAACAGAAACTGTTAACTTCCTTGCTATTTCTGTAGGTGTAATGTTGTTTCTTTTGTGCATTATAAAGGATATTTTGAGTCTCATCGCTCTGTTGACATTAGCAAATCCGAAATTGGGACATGCTGTGTCTGTATTGGAAAAACTAGTGTTTTGAGACTTTTATACTCAGATCAATACTCAGTATTTAACAGTACAAATTCCAATTTTACTAGGAGAGAAAGTTGCCACCACCACTGAATACTATACTTAGTAGACTGATATATTACTCATAGATTCAATTTCCTTTATTTATCCAACCTGCAACTTGGTGTCTCACAGGGTCTTTCTTCACACACTAGGTTTCATCAGTGTTCATGAGTCTGACATACAAGTATACTAGCCTGGCAGCGCAAATGCGAATAAATCTCTGAATTCATTTTTGATTTCCAAGAGGCGCCATCAATGGGCGCAGACCAAAACACAACAAATGAGTGCAACAGAATGTTTGACGTAGCTTAGTCGGTAAATTTAACTTAAAAATGCTGTCCAGTTTTTTTCAATACTGACACGATAGCGGATTCAACAGAAACCGTTCCACATCTGTTGCAGCCATCTAGGTTGTTTATGAAAATACGTTGGCCAATAAGTTGCGCTCCTCTGTGCAGTCGACATATCAAACCCCATATTAGGATTGGCTCAAACAGGTCCGGGAAAAGGGACCAGATGCATCTGCCAGAGCAAATAAAACAAGAGCTTGCAAATTTTTGTGGTTCCCAGTCTACAGGTGTACTGTAATATAGTGGTGGCTGAACCATGTGGCCGGTAGACTTGGCTTAATACAACCTCCTGTTTTCGTTATCTTGGAAGCTGTCATCCTTCTTTAAGTTGGATGAAGTGTGTTGTCATGAGTTGGTGACTTGCATGTATGTGCATATGAAGCATTTTTCTTCATTTTCTTTGTCCCCTTCCTAACAGACAATGTGAAGGCCTACTACAAGCGGGCTAAGGCCCACGCTGCAGTGTGGAATGAGAAAGAGGCACGGGCGGACTTTGCTAAGGTGTTGGAGCTGGACCCGACTCTGGAACCATCTGTTGCCAAGGAGCTGAGGGCCATGGAGGAGAGGATCCGCTCCAAAGAAAAGGAGGAAAAGGGTCGCTACAAAGGCCTATTCAACACACCACCTGCCACTGCCACTACAGTCAGTCCACTTTTTTTTTAAAGCTAACTCTATTTGGACACCAGATATTCAAGATAATTTGTAAAAACCCAAAAACATAATGTACTAAAAATATACCTGCTCCTCCTCCTCACAGGGTTGAATCTCTGTGGGAACAAGAGGAGGATGCCTGTGAATTTCAAGATGGAGGAGAAACAGTAGACACTGCTGGTGTTTCAGTTTTATCCATGCACCCAAACCAGATACTCTGCCACCCTACCCTCCATGGTACACACGCAGAAACATTCTTACACACTGTCAGGTCAAACACACGAACGCACCCACGAGTGACGCCTATATACTGAGGCGTGATTTTCATTCCTGCCTTATTCCCCTGAACCCCACTCTCAAAACTGATTGATCCTGATTAGGAAAAGGCCGACATTGCTAGCTTCACTTTAATGAAAGTCCAAAAACCCATAAAAACCTTAGATTCTTACCACAAAGGAACTGTGAGTTCTTATTTGGTTATGGTTTCAGAAGACATTCTGGGTAATTAACCTGCTCATGGTAAAGGACTACATTCAGAATGTTACCCACAGCCGCATGTTTCACAGACTTTGCTGCAGAGATTTTTTTTAATTTAATGATGAATTCTGTTTGGGGAAAGTCTTTTATAGTAATTTATACAGCAAACGTCAATTTGCTACAGTATTAGAAACAATTAGCTTAAATATGTTGTTATATTGCTTTCTCTGAAATACGCACTGTTGGATAATCCTGAAATTACTCGTAATTGTGGCCCAATTACAATGGTGATTACAATGGTTTCTGGGCAGAAAAGCTCTCCACTCAAAACCCAACAATTGTAGTCTGTTTTTATTTGTTGCACAAGGTACATCATGTACTTACATGCACACCTCTGCCTTGCACCACCAGATCCCCCTTCTCTATCTTGGTCACAGGGGAAGCACTGGAATAAGCAGGAGAGCTTTATCTCCTGGTAGATGCGAGCGCTCGGTCTGTGTCAATCATTATAAAGCATGCATGGACCTGTGTTATTTTTGCTTTCTCTTATTTTCATATAGTAAGAAATACTACCATTATGTTGTTTTTGTCAAGATGTACTCCGCAAAACCCTCAGTATCTCCTTTACTCGCTTAAAAAGAGCTACTCATTACTCTTCATGTGAGGCAGCAGGTCAGTAGCCCCACCTGTCTGAAGTGAGATGTTATTGAGGTTGTGATTATTGAACTGACAATAAATATGTTTATCCCCAGTTTTGCCATTTATTTTTTTGTATTTGTGACAGAGAGAGGCGATTTTAAGAAAAAAAAGGCTTATTAGTTTCCTCTGGCTTTGGTCCAATTAGATGAATAATCCCATTATATTCTTGAGTAAAAGATGTTCACAAAATGTAATTTTCATGGTCCACATGTACATTGTTTCATAGCTCTCACATAATTGTGTCCATACTCAGTAGATGGAGTCCACTCTGTGAACTCAATGTCCTGCTACATTAACAGTAAGTGGACCTAATAGTTTTGTGGAAAGGTGTATCTACCCACTAATTCTTTAGCAGCCTATTAATGAGGTTTCACAAAAAAAAACAGCCACACAGTGTTTTTCTGTTATTTAATTAAGATATACATACCGAACTGCAAAAATCTGGTTTACAAAATTTCCATACTAACAAATTGACTTGAGATGTACAGAGTTCTTGGGATTGAGAAACATCTAATGTGTGTTTACACTACAAAATATAATGAAAATATAGCAAGGGTGACTGGAAATGGGGTATAGTCAAGACGCTCAGATTAACAAAAAAAATAGTGAGTGGTTGCAGAATGATGTTTAGAATAGAAACTTGAGCACAGGTGCAGTTGGAACATTGGTTTCTTCATTTAAAAAAACTAACTTTTGGTCAATTGCCATTATTGAACAAATGATACTTTAAATATTTCATCCATTTTACTAAGGTCTTTACCCACAGCTCTACTTAAAAATGTGTTGAAATTCCCCACACTTACTTCAAAATAGATACAAAACTGCATTTTGCATACACCCAACAGGTCACAGAAGGTTTGTAATGAACACAGTGGGTGTGCTGGAATGCAGGGAAGAGTGGAGACAAGAAGGACATAATGCACCTATAAAAAGCATAAAGGTGGATGATTCAAGAAATGTTGTAAAACAGATACTTGATGAGGACAGCTTCAACAGGGAAAGAGAGGGGGGGGGGGTGAAGGGATCTTTCCAAAAGGTTATGTGCGGGCGCTTCTCTCCGTCTCTGCAAGACACTCCCTGACCAGTGCACGGGCGTGGATTATACCTGAGCAAGACAAACACAAAGTGCAAGGAGGTGTTAAATCAACCGTTAATGAGGTAAGTTGCAAAAAATAAGTGGTATCATTTTCTACCTTTTGTCTGATTCTACCTCAGCAAAAAAAACTAATGCGCCTGCGAAGAGCCATTATTGGTGAGATAACAGCTACTGCAGTTACTCAGGTTCCTGTTGTACGTGATTCTATTCAAGTCACACCAGTCCATCACCAGTCCTTCTACACATCTTCATTACTACATACCAGAATTTAAAACCAGTGCAAACAAAGGAGGAGCGTAATGAAGACCACATTTCAACATTTAGGACAAAACCTCACTAAGTCAGGGACTTTTTGTCTTAAATGTCACAACACAACATGGTCTTTTTAACCCTTGTGTTTTGTGTAATAGGCATGCTTTTACATTTTAATATTAAAGTATGCTGGATACCTAAGTTCCGATCCAATACTTTCCTAGATAATATCAGGTGCAGTAGTGCACACTGAAAACTAGTTATGAAATAATCCAATTATATATATGCTTGGCCAATTGAATAGCTCGTGCATTGCATTAAGAAAGTATGCTATCCAAGCTGCTCTCCTGTTATTTTATTTTTTTAAATAAAGTATAAAATAACGAACCCTCTCAGCTCCAATCTTTTTTTTTTTCACTCTCCTTTTAAAAGTGTCCTCCAGTGTTGCTTTTGTGAAGCCTTTGAGTAACTGAATGAATTCTGTTGAGTGTTTCTTTTTCGACGTCAGTGCAAAATTTGTACTATTTACATTAATAAATCACTCTTATTGGCTTTTTGCTGCACTGCAGTGGTGTGGTGAGTGTGGTTGTCATCTCCAATGGAGCGGGGCAGCCCAGGGTGCTATGTATGCCGTTTAATTAGGAAAGTTGACACTAACTACACTTGTTGCATTGCTATGCTTTGCAAGTAAAAACACCAGTGTGATAGCTGACGTAAAAAGAAAGGAAAGAAGAAAGAAAGGTACCTATCTTTTTGATCGGATCAGGACATCCCTAAATAATAATAATAATAATAATAATAATAATAATAATGATTGATTGATTTAATGTAGAAAAGTACTGAACTGGTGACATTTTGCTTTGCCCACAACTAGACAGACACATTTTAGGTGACAAATTACAGAAACCATGATTATTAAGCATTGTTATTAGATTAAATAATCAAATATTTCATGTTTTATATGTTACACAAACAGATATTCCTTTTGTTTCTAAAAATTAATTCACAGACAGAAAGAAGAAGTTTTCCTTCATAGTGACATTACTCATCAGGGATTTACCAATAACAGCAAATACAAATACAAGTACTTACATTTGCGTACTTGCAGATACCAAGTACCGATATGGATACTTAATAATTCTATTAGAGTTCTAACAATGACTTCCTCACTTTCTAACTGTAACAAATTAAACCCTGTTAATGTTGTTGTAAACGTTAATTAAAATATCTCCAAATAGCTGACATTGCTTATCCTCTGCCTACCTGCTCCATTAACGAAAGGTTATGTAATGTCACTGTCATAAAGTCTAGTTCACTGTGACCTGTAACAGACGAATTATTATACTAAAACTCCAAAAGACCAAAATCTAAACAAACAACTAAATCCCCCTAACAAAAATAACATTAGGGTTAATAATACTTATTTGCATGTTTTATTACCTAAAAGTAAAAACATATTAAAGTACCAATCTGATTGTACACAGAATGAATCCTGTGTTAGACCTGCCTTCACCAGAGAGCCAAACTCATTGATGACCAAGGTCACCACTCTTCCAGGGGGCTTTCATTTCCACAGTAAAGGCACACATAAATACAGCCGGAAGCCCAAAATCTCCCCCTGACACAAAACATGAAGTGCACTGAAAACAGATATGCATTTCTGACAAGTATACCTCTCTTTAGCCTCTCCATAGCGCTCTTGCTGCCAGCGTATGTAGGCCTGATCTCACGGCTCATCTCCTCAATGACAGACAGGAGCTCACTGTAGGTGGACCCTTGAGACACTTTGACAGGCTGTTTGTGTATTTTCACAAATATATAATGTTTGGGGGAGAAGAGGAAAAAAAAAAGATCCATCAAGACGTGTCAGAGCTGGAAATTCACATCACAAGTAAAGACGAGGAACAATGTAAAATGTAGACTCTTGCTAAAATGATGTACTGTGATGTAACAAAGGAAAGCACAGAGGTCGGGTATCTTTGTTTTTAAATTATTAGGTCAAAATGATACTAAGTAGAACTGCAACAACACCACTCAAATAATTATTAATTTAATAATAATAAAAAAATAAAAACTAATAGTCCCCCAGCTGTTCCCATCTAATCCTCTCGACATTACCATGCTTTCATAACTGTAATAAAGACCATTCCTCCTGTCCACTGTTTCAAATTATTCCAGCAAAAAAGTGCTTACATGCATTTCAATAAAGTAAGGCACCCCCCCTTTGGCTATGTCAGTGCTCTCATGTAGGTCACATGCCTGCAGCTGCCTCACGGCCTTCCAGCACTGTCAATATTTACTGTACTCCATGAATACAGACAACTTCTGCAGATACTTTTCTGAGGATATTTGAAGGTTGATTAACTTCGGCAGATTCCCTCTTCCACCTGGTTATATATCTGAATGTTGTAATTGAAATTCTTAAGACTAAACTGGGGATTTCACCTTCGTTTTTGTCTTTTTGTCGAGTGCAAAGGTACAGAACTCTTTATGAGATAACAGTGTATGGGGAATTAGCAGGAGCCAGCAGCCAAATGCTGGTAGAATATGAAAGTGGCTTATAGATGTCACACACACAAAATAATAAAAATAACATTTACTATTGTGTGGATTGTGAATTTCAACATTTATTTGTCACTGGCTGGTAGATGTTCTCTATGTTAATTTTCCACCCTGGGCTGGAGTGTTAGAAACATGTGCACACATATGCAATTGTGCTAAATTATTCATTAATATGCCTTGCGGGTGTCATACTGCTTTAGCTCTAGTAAGGACCTTTTATGCAATGTGGCTGATGATGTCAAGTACAAGCTCTACTCTTTGACTTGTGCAACATAATTAAGATTGGTTGTGGTTTGATTACTTGTATGTATGTATAACTGTACTGTAGAAATACCTGAACAAAGCCCATGGAGGGTGGGCCAAAGTCACTGAAAGCCGGCCTAAAGTTGGATGACGAGGGCAGTGAGGGAGAGGGCACAGAAGAGCCTGGACAGAAGAGAACGTATGTAACACACTGTAGCTGGAACATGTAACACAAGCAACCTGCCTTTTGAAACATTGTAAGGTTCCCTGATACAATAACTTCTTTATTTTTGACACTGAAAACACCTCAGAGTGCTTTATCACTTTTATACAATGGCCCCCTCCTTAAACTAATAGTGAAACCAAAGATACTCACCACATTAACTATCATCACAGCATGATGATGATAATGCATTGTTGCTATGGTTACTTGCACTCTAATATTGCCTAGACTACCATTGATTTATAATGGTAATTAGACTATTGACCAGAATTATTTCCCATGGCCATATAGTGTGTAAATGTGTTATATGTGTTACAGACAAATGGCAACTAGCCAATAATTGTCATGTCCAACATTAAAGCCGTGTGGTGTTAGAACCTGGAGGTGTGTGGTTGGAGCCAGATGGCGCAGGGGCAATGGGTTTGTAACTCATGGCGATTTCAGCAGGCAGCTCCCCGTACGACGCGCCACTTCCTTCGGTCCCGTCAACCCGGTGCTTATACAGCTTTACTGGTGGTGATGAGCTCCTAAGAGCTGAAAAAGGTAATGAAGCACACACGCAGAAACACAAATAAATAACACAAGATAGTATCAATTTATGTTCATCCTCAAAATAACAAAAAGGGAGCTACGGTCAGAACCCAAAATGTAAAAGTCAACCACAATGGCTCAGCTGTTTCTCTGGAGTGTTTACCACTTTGTAAGATATACAACAACCAAAAAAAGAGGAGATTCAGTGGCTAAAAACAATGGTACAACATATAAAGCACTACAAACATTTTACACCATGGCAAAATGTGCCTCCTTTGCCTTGCTTATAGGCTTATACGTCACAGAGCAAGACTTATGACCTGTTACTCAAAAGCTGAAACTTTCCACATTGAGGTTAATTAACACAACAGAGATGGACAGTTCAGTTTTTTAAAAGTATTCTGTGAGCATTTGTGTGTCTTCATAAACAGACTGCAGACACATGACAGAAAACAAGGGAGATAAAGATGCAACAAATGTCCCTGGCCAGACTCAGACCGGAGACGTTGTGGTTCGTGGCTGGCGTCCTCACCCTGTCCTGTCATGCAACACCAGCTGCAAGTAGTTAATCATAATTACAATTTCAGGACTGCAGTTCCTAACAGAGTTGTTAATGACTTCCAAGTATCTCGCTTCATACAGTTGCACCAAGTAAGTGACATTACATGTAACTAACATTTAAATTTAACTTTGCAGCTAAAATCTATTAGAAAATGATCTACTGAGGAGCTACAGGAGTTTAAAGATGATTTATGCATTAATTATGTATACAAATAGTCAACCGTTTCCGATTAAATCTACTCCTTCTACCTCATTTAAATTTCCAGAAACCATAAATATGCAGATTCTGTTCATTTCTTAAGATGTCTCCTACTGCACTGTAAAATCCATTCATTGTGCACAGGTGGCTTCAAGTTTCTACATCACATTTGTAAGGCTGAGTGATACATTGATTCATTTGAATTTCCGTTTCAAAACGATGCAAAAAAACAGCTGCTAAGGACTAAAACAAGCCCCAATCCACTCAATCACTCATCTATCCCAAAGGAGAAGATGTGTTTCACGTCGGCAAAAACGTGGCGTCTTTTGCAACAAAAACCGTAAATGGCATACGGTGTGAAGAAATCTGAGATTGTCTTTTATTTTTAGGCCGTATCGTCCAGCCCCACACACTTGTATACGGTGCATACTGGACCAGGGTTAGGCTCCTTAGAGATGAACTGCGCCTCGCCTGTAAAGTGGACGAGATCAGGCGGCAGCCGCAGGGGGTTGCGACAAGAAGCTGCAGTCGAGTCAGACAGTTTCCTGCAGCCTCGAATATACAGGAAGTAACAGAAATGCTTGCATCCTGTTCGGTCATCTATAGGCTGCCTGCAGTATGCAGACCACCTTCGGATATATATAAATAAAGCTCATTATTGTTATCAACCAGGCAAGATTAAAACTTCACTGCACATCATGAAACACAAAACTACCTACAATCTAGAGTTGAATATTAAAATCACTGAAAATTAGGAAAACTAAAACTAGGAGTCAATGAGCTTTTGGATCTCGTCACCTCCTGGGTCTTGCAGTCGGTGGAGAGCAAAAGGACGGGCTCCAAAACCTGCGGCCACCTCGATGTTGCGAGCTTATTGTTGCCCACGTGTGCACGGCAGCAGAGCAAGACACAGATCTAACCAGCATGCATTGTACAGCAATCACCGCTGACCGATGCTGCACAGGCCTGGTTTATCTCAAGAGAGCCTATTGACTAACAAACACTTTGTGATGTCACAAATCACGCTCCTTTAAACGCCCCTTAAAATCAGATTTTACAATGAGCACAGAGAAACTTTCCACTTATCAGTAGATGAATGTGAAAATATCCTTCCAGTGTCTGCACATACATCATTCTGCACAGGGGAACTCAAAACTGTCGGAACAAGAAGAAAAACATGTACCTGAGTGGAGAAGGACTTTAAATTACTAATTACTATTTCCTAAATAAATGTATTATGAATCTCTCTGGGAGCAAAACACACCTCTGAATGCATAATGCCATGCTGCACCTTCACAGGTCATCTAGCAGGGCTGTGCTTACCATTCCCGGTGTCTAAACTAATGGGATTCAATCATTTATTACATTCCCTGATGTGTTTAATATTGTTTATGCATTACATTGAGCACTTTGAACTGTCTTAATGGATACAATGTACAACACAAACGCATTTCCCTTGCCTAAGTAAGACCATAAGGCGCTTTGCTGCCATGTCCTTACAGTATAGTGAGCAGCCAGTGGCACAGTAACGATTGGTAACGTTACACTGTGTATTTGTGTGACACAGAGACAGATAACCCACTACAGTTCATTCAAACCTGCCAGAGATTATATCTGACCAGTAGTTGGACATTAATCGTGCGGGATCAGTTTATAAAGACGTTTCGGAGCGTGGATGTCTGAATGTGACCGCTCAAAGGCGAACGAACCGGGATCCCGATGAAACAAAAGCTGACGTTAGCTTTAGTGGAAGGAGCCAGGCTAAGTACTACTTGGTAATGTTAGCTACATCAGCTAGCTTTCACCGGTTAGCATAACAACATAAGTACATCCGAAAAACAGTCGCGATACCGCGTTGGTATCCTTGATATGGAGAGTGAACGACAGAAAGGTTATCTACGCTTGTGGCCACGGAGAAGACCACAAGTGATTCAAACGACCGGTCATTTTCTTTACCTTTGTAAGGAGACTTAAAATCCTCTGTGGGAAGCGAGACCTGTCTCTTCCTCTGTGCGTGAGTCTGCGCACAACAGAGGCGTAGTGTACTACTGGTTTTTTTTACTTTTAGAGACATTTGATTGGACGAGGGACTAACCGAGCTATGACGTATGCCCCAAACGTGTTCATTACCACTGCTGCACCAAACAGTCAATTATTGTTTTTATATCAATTATTATTATTTT